GGATTACAGACAGCTTATGGTAGAATAATAGCCTGGTTCAAAGAGTTTCCTGCTTAAGATGAAAATTATTCTGCTAAAAGTGGCTTGGATGAAGAAGAAGTTAAATGACTTCTCCATCCAGTTTCTGCTCCTTTCCATACAAGACCTAATTAAAAGGCTTAGGGACTAATAAAGAGGGATTTAGGAGGGAAATGCTAGCCCAGAAATCTAGTGCAGATTAGATTGCCGTGGCTGCACAGCCTGCTACTCCTAGTACAGCTGCTGGCCTTTGGTGGTTGTGGGGCTCCCTTGTGCTCCCCTGAGCCTGCGTGAGTGAGAGGTGCAACAGCAAATGCCTTACTGCCGCAGCGCTCATCCCCCAGTACACCACCATCGCCTCTTCCGTACTGTAGAAAGAGGGGACACATTGGTTGGAAGACACCTTGCATGGCCCCATTTCTCCCCACCCTCCCAGGAATTAAAAGAACTGTGAGAGTTTTTTTTGTACTTAAGGTCTTCTACAGTTCTGAAGCAGCAGGCATGTTTAGACCCTTACTTCTTAAAACACCATTTTGGAGAAAATGACACAACAAACCACCATTCAGAAGAAAAATGACTTGAAGGAGTTGCAGTATGGTCTAGTCCCAGGGCGGTTTGCTTCTCCTTTTATCTCCTTACTCATTCAGACTGCAAGTCATCCAGTAATGTTGTAAACACTGCTCTCTACAGTCACACAGGCGAAAAACACTTTGAATTTAGCATGAGAATGAAGCCTTGCTGGAAGCATCAGAGGTAGCACTCAGTTTTAAAACTTACTTACGCAGTGTGACTCTCTGTTTTGCAACAGCTAAGTTCAGTTATTCTGCCATACACTGGAACGGCAAAAGGGATTCCCCTGTCATCTGTGTAGAGGAGTCTGGTAATACTTTTAAAAGTGCCTACTGGAGGGGAACTGCTTTTCTGCTTCTCATTGCCTAACACAATTCAGGTTTCTGGTTCTCTGGCAACAGTGAACATTACAGGCTTTCCATGGCACAGGAGAGCAAATTCCAAGAAAGAAAACCTGGGTCAACTCACAGATTTGTGTCTTTTTAAGACAGTGAGGCACAAGCTGTGACAAGCAGCCAGCTTGAACCCTTGCATAACACAGGCTGTATAACCTGATCTACCAATTTTATGAGACCCATGATTTCTCTTTGGATTACAGCATGTATTTTTGAAAAATCTGGCAGTGATTAAAAAAAGCCCCCTTGGTTATGAGACTGTCTCCAATATCCTTAGGACTTGTTTCAAAGATTCTACAGGTCATCAAAATCTTAGAAGGCGGCAGTGTGAAGCAATGCAAAGTACACAGTCCAAACCTGAAGCTTTCTAAACTTGAAGAAACAGTGGCTAGGGAACATTTTTAATTTTTTTTAACAATAAAATCTCTGAAGTGAGTAGGGCTGTAAGCCTGTTAAACACTGTGACTGTGAAGACATTTCAAGGAAAAATGCTGCTACAGCAAACTCTACAATGCATAGCACGAAATCCTTCCCTGAACTCATACATGGGTAGAAGAGCTGGCAGATCCAGCTGGCAAAATTGGGTATCTTAAATGAATACAAGTCAGCCAATACAGCCCTGAAGCCACATCTGCTCAATCGTGCATGAAGTCATCACCAAAGAGATTTTATTCCATTCAATCTCAATGAGTTAGCAAGACCTAACAAATGAAATGCAATGCAGAGAAGGCCTAGGTGAAACGTTTGTCCTCAGCCTGTAGACAGAATGCCAGTATGACTGTCCCTGTCTGGTGAGTTCATGATAAGGAAAGCCTCAGAAATCCCCAGACTTATGCTGTATAGGCCAAATATTACCCACAGGCAAAGCTAAGAAAAATATTGTTTCAGATTCCATTTTTGTTCCTGACAATTTCTGCTGGTACTCATGTAAGAGTAGGAAAAAGCCCTGAAATTCACTATGCTAAATGTTGATCAAAAAACATAGTAGCAGTGGACTGTATAGTTCACAAATTAAGAAAATAAGCTGCATTTTTACTTCTGTGCCTTGTCAAAAAAATCAAGTGAACAGTTTCAAAATGTGTCCTCAGTTATACCTGCATTCATTTTCTCAGGCTACTTTCCTGATGTGCTGGATTAATCTCACTGTGAAGTACAGGCCTATACATCTGGAGTCATTCCATTGCCTAGAATAAAGTAACTTAGTCCAGAAGATAACACATTTCAGACATACACACACCTGAATCAAAATCATGGTGCATCTTTAAGCACTTATGTATTTGAGTTTCCAAGTTTAAAAACTAAACCAGAAGTAGAGTGAAAATTAACATAACTAAGAAATCCGAAGAGTTTGGCTCAAAAGGTGCAAATTTAAATTTTCTTTGCCAGGGAGGCACAACCAGACCCATTACTGTACTATGCCAGAAAAAATATTGCCACCATCTACCACAGACTTTGAATGTCTTCCCAGTGAAATGGGATGAGCAAGACCAAGGTCTACCAGCAGGCTTCACGTTCTCCCAAGCCAGACTGTAAAAGTAGGAGATGGAAGAGGAAATGATAGTTTTTGAATGCCACTTTTGCAGAAGCAGATGATTCATCCTCCGAACTTGGTTTAAATTGGATTCTTCTCCAGAACCTGTGAGCCCATGGCCCTGCCCAGCCACACTGGGGCTGTGTCTGACCCCTCTTCCCCTCGTGGGGGCTGACCCTGACCCCCACCCGTGGGCCCATGTCCCAGCCCAGCCTCTGCTCATCCCCAGGGAAGTGCCCGATGCCCAGGGCTGGGGCTGCCCCAGTGCCCCAGCTGCTCTGCTCCTGGCTGGGGTGGAAGGATGGGCCATGGCTGTGCCCTGACCCACCCAAGGAGCCACTTCAGCTCAGATTTGCTCAAGAACTGATCATTCCCATGGAACAAAATCTAAAACCGGTGGCTGGTGGCATCAGCAGCAGGTTGTCCCAGCTGCGAACCACTGGGTCTGGTGAAGGGACAGGTGGCACGTGGCCATGGTGTGTGACTAGTGACGCTTGGGTGGGGGAAGAGCTGGGCACGGAGGAAATCTCCACCCAAAGGCAACTTCTCCCTCCCCTGTACTTGCGCTGAGCCTGCAGGCTCTCCTAGAAGAGCTGGGTTTGTCCACAGAAGCCTCTGCCTCTCCCACCCACTGCTTTTACCTCCACAGGCACAGGGGAAGGTGGGAAGGGGACATGTCAAAGCAGGATGGTTCCAGCTTTCAGAGCAGGGCTCTTTCCTTCAGTAGCTGTGGCAGTGGCCGCTGAAGAAATGGGTGCAAAGAGCAAAGGCTCTGAGAGAAAGATCCCTGACCTGTGGTGGAGGTGCTTGCACTGACACGTCAGGCCACGGGATGGGCTAGAGAGTCTGAGGACCACTTACTCCTCAAAATCCAGCGCTTCAAGTCTTGCCCCGAAGCTCACATTTGCCTCTGGTGCCACAGATGTAACATGGCTTTATTTTGGCTTCAGTCTTTCTGGTAGTGAGTACAGCTTTAACTCTTTTCTTCCCGGGCCCCATAGCTATACAACACCCTCTCTGCACCCAGAGTCCTGTGTGCATTAGAAATGAGGGCTCTTAGGACACGGCCCTCCTCCACAATGCTGGTGTGGTTTCAGTGCTATTAAAAGTGGTTACAGATGGCAGCCATCAGATGCCACAGTGGAGGAGAATCACAGATAGGAGGCCTGGCTGTGCTGTGCGGGCATGACTTGTTTTATTGATGTATCTATCGTTTCTTGGCCCAAGGTGTTCATCAACATGCAGTGCGGACCCCTTCCTTCCACACCGAGAGATGGTAGCAGGAAGCCTTCTCCACAACAGCTTACTCAGCCTTAAGCAACACGGGAGATCATGTGTGCCTGTGCCACCTAATGTCACAAAAATATGAGTAGCTGCCCCAGGCAATTAGGAGATGGGCTTAGCTGAGGCCAGTAGGTACTTATATTAACATCTTTAATACATTTTATTTTCACTACACTTAGTTGGACACAATCATTATGACACAGATTCTTGGAATATGGTAACACAGGAACTTCAGCGCTGGGAAGTATTAGATAACGTGACTGTACCTGTGCCTCACATTGAAGTAATACCCTTGACGTGACACTTCATTAGCCTCTCAGATATTAATGCCATCACTCAGCCAGTCTTTCCTCAGGAAAAACTAGCCGCAAAGTCCAATTACAGTAAGAATACTGTAAGGATACTTTAGTAAGGAGCACAAGATTTAGTCTGTTATCTGTAAAGACGCAGATGCCTTTTCAGATTTTTTTTTTTTTATCTCATTCACATTTGCAGAAACAAGTTCTTTTTTCTGGAGTTTCAGAAGGCAGGTCAGTGTGACTGGAGAGGCGTTTACTACTTACACACCTGTGTAAGTACTCACTGTTTTAGACCTAGGTCTAAAAGCTAAATACAACGTCACAGATTTGAAAATCATACGTACAGATGACACAGCCAGAAATGTTAGCGACAGGAACGTATCTGAGAATACTCTGTTCCACTAATCACGAATGACAAGGTAAAGACAGAAGGGAAATGACATCCCCAAGGAAGAAGTGTGATTTAAATAAAAAGGAGGTTGAAAGTAGACCAAAGGCTCCATGACGGTATAATCCACAGTGAAAGGGGAAAAAGGATGTTTTTGCCTCATGCTTTGAAGATGGAATAAGAATAGAAAATAAATGGATATATGCGATTTAAGCCACAGAGTTTTTCTGAGCACTTCACACCATCGATGCTACGCTTGGATCCTGATGACGACACAGCTGCAAGGTTCCTTTAGAAATCATCAGCTCTCCCGTCACTCGGCCCATTCCATTTGTCTTTTGTGACAAACTCAATAAACCGCACTTTCTCCACCATCTCTCTTGGCCGCCTCATTTCCCAAAGCCTGATTACATGACTTAATCTTTGGTACATCACCTCTTTTCACATTTGCAATCAAGCCGAGGAGGACAGCTGTTACTGACCATGCCTAAACATTGACCGAAGCATCCTCCAGCATGCGGATGTATGAGGACACTTGCCGAAATAAACTGCCAGCGCGAAGACTTGAGGAAGAGATTAGCACAACCTTCCCAGGTGTGGGGGTGACCGCGGGTGTGCCTTTCACCCTCTGCCCAAAACAGTGGGCAGTGAGTAAATCGACCGACGGCGTCGGAACGGGTCAGTGAACCACCTTATTACAAAACAAAATCAAAAAGCGACACTGAAATTATGAAGTCGGAACACGCATTGGGGTTACTTGGCGGTACTTGGAAGAACGGGGTTTAGGCATCTAGCGCCAAATTTCCCAGCTACTCCTCTTTTGCCCTAGCGGAATGACAGTGGCGCGGGGAAGGATACGGCGCTAACTGAGCCGACGTTCCTAAATCCGTAGAGCAGGCCAACTTCACGGGGCTGGCTGAATCATTGGCACCGCGCGGTGCCCGAGCTTTGCTGCCGACCGCCAGGTGAGCGGCACCTGACTGCTCCCGACCCGGCCCGAATTTATGAAGAGCCGGTTCCGCGAGGTTAAAGCGTTCGGCGCTCCCATCGCGTCGCGCGCACGACGGTGCCTTGGCGGAGGGCAGGGCAGAGCCGCTAAGAAAAACTCGTAAACTTCGCGCGAGAGCGGGAAAAAAAATTCATTTTACCCCAAACCCTCGCAACGACCGTTTCACGGTTTGGAGAAGCAAGGCAAAAACCGAAGCCAGAATCCCGCC